GGCGACACCGGGCTTCGACTCCGGCCGCGCCGCCCTCCGCGGCCGCCCCCTGGGGATCCGAGCGAGAGGCGGTGAGTGCGGGCTGCGCGGTCCCGGGAGCAAGAGGGGCGCGGCCGGCGCCGCCCCGGGAGCTCGGGACGGTCCCCGGAGCGCCGCGCGCCGCCGGCTGCGCGCCGCGACCTTGCGCCCGGCCCGGGGGCTGCGAGGCCGGCGGGACCCGGGGCGCCGACGTCGAGGCGGAGGGAACTTTCCTCCCGCTGCCTCGGGCAGGGTGGGGTGCGCGCCGGGCTCCCGGGTCCTTCCCGCTGAGACCCCGGGGCAGGACCCCGGCAGGGCAAGGCGGGGCCGCGCCGGCTGGGGCGTCCAGATGCGCCCGCAGCTAGGAGCCCCGGGGCCGGCGTGGCCTTTGTCCGTCCACCCGAGCTGGCGCCCGTGACCCTGAACCTGAGGGGTCCAGCTACTCGCCGGCGTCCCCTACGCCGTAGTTTGCCTGCGCCCCGCCGGGTTGGGAAAGACAAGTGGACTCTTACTTGTTACCTCTGGCTGAGCAGGGGGGAGGTGACCAGGGGCTCCGGGAGAGCCTTCAAACTGGCCTGTGGCAACCGACTTGATCCTATCAAGCCGGTCTTGGCTCTGTTCGTCATCTGTCGAAATGGGAGTTGCAGGTTGTTAGTGACTTCAGGTAAAGAGGAAAGTACGGCACTCAGACATTCTGGGAGGAATTAGGTATTTAATTTGCCGACAAACCGAGCGGGGAGGGAAGGTTTCTATTACATAAGACAGCACTCCGCCTTCAGGTGTTATGGAAGATGCTATTGAAGGTTTCAGTGTCTTAATGAACGAAACGGAATCTTTGTGTGTGTGTCTCTGGAGAAATCTCAGATGCTGCTGTGTCTTGCTTTGACTACTTTGCAGAGAACGTGCTTATATTTAGCATCCAACATAAGAAGGTGTTTGAAGGTTTGACTTCCTCTTTCAAGGCAGGAAGCAGTTTACTTCTCTGTACTGTTCTGGAACAATTGATGTGATAATTTTGTACTTTGGAGATTTTATATCAGAAATTGGACACAGAGAACTGGAAGAAATGTCAACATTGCTAATTTGTGTATCCTGAAGCGCACTTCAGAAATTGAAGGCACTTTCAACGGTCTGCATATCTAAATCAGTAATTATTTGCTGTTTGCAGTATTCGAGCTTTAAACAAAGTTGACTATGCAAATGAGGGTGCTAGTGTAAATTATCTGAAGGGTTTCTTTGAACACCCAAGTTTTGACTCATTAAAATTATGTCTGAAAATATTGTACAGTGTATGACAGTTACTGAAGGTCAGGAAGATGGCAAGCATTTTTAATTCTAACACCAAAATGAATCTATGCAAAAAATTTTTACCCTCCCATGAACTCACATCTTAGTGTAATTTTTATATTACTTGGTCTTCAAAGGATGTTAATATCCAGTTCCACATATGGGTGATTAAATACTAGTCAGAGATTGAGGTGGTCATCTGACTAGGTCCTTGGCCACACCTCTACATTGCCATCTTTTTCCAGCCAGTTCTTCTGCCACAGCATCGGGACTTTGGTTCATGGGCTTTTTCTCCTCCTGTTGTCCCTAGGGCCATTTGGGGTATGCTCTAAACTGTCACTTGCTTGACCATCTCAAATTCAGTGACTTCCACTCGCTCCAGCTACTAAGTCCTCTAACTACATACGAGTCTTGCTCTTGACCAGAGATGTTCATCTTCTGAAATCAGAAACGCCTGTACCTTAGTGTCTTCAACCCACAAGTGCCTTCCTTCCAGGTTGCAAACTGGGAATCCCAGTGAAAGATCCTCAATCTCTTCCCTTCTGCTGGTTTGACAGGTGACTTTGTGGCCCACTCTATCAGGAAATAAAGGTTACCAGGGTCTATTTGCATCCTACCCCGTCTTCTTCCTGAATATTTTCCCATATTTATCCAGTCATCTAATGCATCTTCTTAAGCATCGACCGTGTCTGGGAACTTTGTTAGGTTTTCATAGATGGTAAATAGAGCAGATCCTTGCTCTGTTGGAACTCATTCTTGAGGGAGGAAGGGGAGAAACAGACAAAAAGCAAACATAAATATATTATAAAATGTGATAAAAAATGAATAGGGTAGAATGATAGACGCAAAATCAAGTTGGACTGGGAACCTAGAGAAATTTAGCGGAGAGGCCTCCATTAGCAATGACTAATGCCTCCAGCCGTGGCCTGAATCCCAACTCCTCCCTCTTCTCAGGAATCTTACTCTCCTCTCTCACTTTTATCTTCAGTCTCTGCCTGTGAACACTGTTTTAGCAGTATTTTTAAAATGCTTTAACATTCTTTGTTCCTCCATCCCTACCTCACTTGTGGTGACCACCATGACTCTTTAACTGGTCTCCCATTCCTGCTCAGATCTTTGCATGCTGGCCAGCGTATCCCCAAAGGAGAGGACCTGGTGATTTCCTGAACAAGCAATCTTTTCTTTAAAGAAAAAAAAAAAATTAGGATTTATTGAGAGAAAATCTCCCAGAGCAGGAGGGGACACAAGGGGGTTGCCTTGAGCAAGCAGTCTTAGACTGGCCACTCACTAGACCTCTCTGCAGCATTTGGTAGGCTCTTGCATTCCTTTGTGATGCTTTTTTTTCTTCCCTGGTTGCTATCTTCTAGTTTTCTTTCTTCCTCCCTGGTATCTCCTCTATCTCCTAGGGTTATCCAGGGGTTTGTTCTCACCCTACTCTGCTCTCTGTAGGGTCTTCAGGTGAGTCATGTTCCTACAGCTTCAACTATCAACACTAGGAAGTGAGTCCCAGATTGGTATCCTAGCTAAAAGCGTTCTCCAGTGTTCCAACTTGTTATCCACAGTAATGGACTTATCCTTGTCCTCTAGGCAAAAAACAAAACACATGAGCAACAACAGCAAAAACATAAGTCCAAAATGGATTTTCATTTTCACTGCCACCCCATATCTGCTTCACGGTTAGCCAAGATTTTGTCCTGTGTTTTTTTTGGCAGTGTCTGCACCATTCACCAAGAGGTTACAGCAGAAGCCTCACAGTGATGCTGGGGTTCTCCCTCACCCCGCCCACCGCCCACATCCTGATAGTCACTAAGCCTTGTTGCTTCTTCATGCTGTGAAATCCCATAAACCTCTGCTCTAGTCACACTGGCCTTGTCTTGCTTTAGAGTCTAGAAATAGCAAAGGCAGAAATGTTGGCCTGAACAAAAATTGAAGTAATATATCTGGAGTTTTATACTTACATTCCCATGTGGCAACATCCAACCAGGGCTGAGTTTCCAGTACCCATGTATGCTGGAGGCTGGGTGCTTTCTCCTTCCTTCTAGACCTGTGGCCCTTGTTTACAGTAGTTTTCTGGTTTCCATGGACTTCTGAGCTAGCGACCCTAGGCTGAGATGATTCTCAGCAGCCTAGGACTCCCTAGTGGCTTACTGCCTATTTTCCTGCACCTAGTTTTGCATTCCTTCTGTCTTCCAGCTTATTGCTGGTGTGACTTTTTTCCAGCCCCTCCTGATAAAAATTCAATGCCTCCCTCTTGATTTTTGGCTAAACCCCAACTCTGAAGGGGTGACTATGACATATCACAGGTTGGGTATATCAGATGGAAAGTAGCACTCTCTATCGTCTTTATTATTGTACCCAAGTTTCTCAAGATGCTTTTGAACTTCTGTGGGGTGGCTAATACGGAATTTTAGTGTTGACTGCAGCCTCTGCTATCTTCAAACTATTTCCACAAACCTGACCACTGTCCCACTACCTCACAAGCCCCCTGGGTGGAGATGGGCGGGGTCAATTCCACATCCCCACCAGTGGGATTTCTGTAACTATAATAGAGGCACGGGCTACCCCAGGAGCCCTCACCCATGGAAACATGGTGGGCCCTGTTTCACAGTTGGTACCCAGCTTCATACCATGTGTTCCCAAGGTCACTCGACTGCCTTTGGACTGTCCTGGCCCAGAACTCAAGTTTCTCTCAGTGTCTAGCCAGGAAACTTTCCACAGTGCTCCATGGGCTCACCAGGCTGAAATTCCCTTTCTCCTGTGTTCATTGTCTAACTGATTTCCCCCTTTTCAACATTTGGGCCCAGAAAGTCCTTCCTGGAAATCACTGCTCCCAGCCCTCTATGGTGCATATGCAGTGTGCACACATACGTACCACCTACCTTATGTACCTGTGATGGCAGTCTGTGTTACAACACCATGCTCTACTCACCGGATGCTGAGCACCATGAAGATATGCCTGTGTTTTACTTGTATTTGGACCAGCCACAGTGTGTATTTAACAGCTGTCTGAACTAAACCACAGTTATGTTTTTTATTCGTTTACTGCATGCTTTATGGAAGAGTGCTTATATTTTAGACTTAAAAGGAAGTTCTCCCCACAGACCTCCACCCCTGGTTTTTGGTACATCCAAATTTAATATATATCTTCACACTTTTTACATTTTTGATCAACCATGTCTTTTGAGATAAAATGTTACTTAGGAAAAATCGGAAGTCTAATACAGAAGTGCTCTATGCCTTGTTCGCTTCAGTTAACCTCACCTGAACCTTTTATGGACTTGGTCTGTCTTCCTTGAGGTCCATTGGCTGGGCTGCACTCTGCATTTCATAGTTTGTACAAGGTAGGAGAATGCTTTTTTAATTTCCATTAACCTTCTTGGTGATGGTGAGATGTGACTTTTTTTTTTTTTTGCTCTGATATCTTTGCCAGATTTGGTGGAAGTAGCAGGCTGGGAGAGGATCTGGGCTTTGCCACCAACAGCCTGTATTGTTCAATATCTAGAAGTCAGTTTCCTTGTCTGTACAATGGGTGTGTTAAAAGAAATTATCTCAAAAGTGTCTTATTTTTTAAAAAAAACCTGTAACTTCTTGGCTAACTTTTCTTTCTGATTCAGTTTTCTCATAAACAGCAAATCTAGATTTCTTTCTTGTTTTTTGGAGTTGGAGTTTTACTCTTGTCACCCAGGCTGGAGGAGTGCAATGGCACTCTCATGGCCACCATAGCCTTGGTCTGCTGGGCTTAGGTAACCCTTCCACCTCAACCTTCCAAGTAGCTGGAACTACA